AATCTCTGGTCAGTCTTCAACAGTCTCTTGTTAGTCTCCAACAGTCTTTGCTAGTCTTCACCAGACAACATGAGACACCAGTCTAAGAGCAAAATGCTCTCTTGGTAAAATGTAGAACAACAAACTCTACAGTATAAGATGGAACTCTAGGTTGTTGGGTTTTTTCAGCTCTTACTGATAATTCTCTCATGTCTCTGTTCATGTTTGTCGTCACATCAGGTGCTAAGGTTTATGAACGTGTGAAGCGAGTGCGTGAGGACGAGCGCAGGAAGAGGACCATGTTGTGCGACGTGCTTCAGTACATCCAGGATGGCAAAGCTTGTCAGCAGTGGCTCAGCAAACAGGCCGCGATGTAAGAGTTTTAACTTACGGTGAATAACAAACGGGCCAACGAGATCGAGCTTCCCATGAGAAGAATTAATCAAACATTTTATCATTCGGTGCATCCAATTTCCACCTCAGTCTCGGCTGTTTTTAGTTCTTTTTTTAACATGCTGCTGCTCTAGTTTGCTTTCATCCAACATATTTGTTGGGTGTTGTCCAAAATCTGCCTAAAAATCATTTAAAAATAGCAGTGATTCATCTTTGTTGGAGGAGATTCTGGAGTGAGAAGAGCAAACGAAGCCAGAGAGGCTGAGTGTTTGTGCATAAACATGGCAGCAGAGATAATAATGCTTTTCTGTGTCATTACAGAGACGCTGGTGTCACTCCAGCTGTCACAACAATCACAGTGTCAGGTACGTAGTTTCTCTCCGTCCTTTCTGTCGTCTGGGCCTCAGGCTCAGTCACAAGAGAAAAACAGAAAAAAATAAGGCAGTATTGTGCACAAGTTTTGAGCCACTCAGTTTTTATTTTGCTTCCAAGGAACCAAAATTATTTGCATTTTCTTCAAACTATTTTTTCATGATTTTCCAAAGTTTCTGAAGTTTTTGTTGGACAACAAAAAAAATGTTTCTGTAATTCTTATGATTATCTGGTTTTTGTTTCCAGTCACTTTAACAAGAATTTCCAACGTTGGTTTGATCACAATCACAGACCCTAACAAGGACTTCCAAACTCAAGTGAACCAAACAACTTTTCAAAAACAATGATAAATTAAATTTTAGGCACATTACCAGTGGTAGAGTTGCATTCGGATCTAAAAAAAATCCTACCCGGCCCTAGCCCGTAGCCATTTTTTCCGAAACCGACCCAACCCAACCAGGCCCGAACCCGAAACAGCCCCCCCCCCCCCCCCGATATATATATTTTTTTAACTTTTTACTGTAAGCAAATCAGTTTGACATGATATTTTAAAAACACATTTCAAGACTTTTGCACAGTACTAGACCGTTCTCATCACAGTCCAGAACAGAGCCTGCTGTGTGACGTAACCTCTGCTGCGGTGCCGCTCGTTTGTTTGAATGTTGTGACATTTCTGCTGCGCAGCATCTGGCAGGCGGAGCGCCCCCCCTCTCAACCTGACCGGACTTCCAGGAACCGAGAAGCTCAACGAGCGAGAAAAAGAGGTACAGAAAAAAAAAAAACCTACGTGCTTTTACTCTTCTCCTCCTCAGCTTTAAAGCTGCTGGCCTCTTGGGTCATTTTGACCCCAGGGCAGCAGGAGGGTTAATCGATGGTGGTCTGCTCGGTGTTTCTGCGCTGCGACCTCCCTGACTTGTTCTTTAAAAGCACACGACGAGTTCAGATGAGTCCAGCTGCTGTAACATCAGGTCATTTTACAAAAGGTGTCTTTTTAGAAGCTGATATTATGGAGAAATGCTGAGTCATCATCTCCTCCTCAAGCACTCAAATTCCGAGTCTTCTCTTCCTGTAAATATCGACATGTAGATCCCACGGCTGCAGCTGAACGTTTGTTCCTCTTGACAACCTGGACCCCCTTCGCTGCTGCCGCTCCTGAGTGTTATTCGTTGCCATGGCGATCTCATGCCCAACAAGTTATTTCTGCTGCTACTTTCCACCAAAAGTTTGTATTTTTTTCACAAGAGTTTGAGAATTTGAATTAAATGTACAAGGATGTGTGCTCATGGTCGCCCAGTACATTAAAAAAATTGTTCCAAAACTTCCTAATTAATTATTTTATACAGTTTGCTGAAACAAGCCCACAAATTTTTCACAGTACTGTACTTTCTGCCGTACATGTCGCATCAGTCCAAATATGGCCAATAAAGTGGGAAAAAACATAAATATGTCGCTTCGCCACATAAGTCGCATATATTGTGCATGACCGCTGACCACCCGGAAATGTGGGCCGGTGTTGTGCCAAAAATTGATTGGCTGCCAAATGGGTCCAAGTGAGAGCGTGCACAGTAGGACTTTAACAAGAATTTGACAAGATTAACTCTTAAAAACATTATTTGTTTGCTCGAAATTATGGCAAAGATGTGTCTCAGTTGAACTTATCCTTAATAAATGCACTTAGACAGTCAAATCAGCTGCATTTCACCTGGGCTGCGCGGTGAAATGCAGCTGATTTCACGTTTGCTCCAGGAGTTCCGGAGTGAGACGAAGGTGTCTTGGTATGGCAAGCCAAGTGTCTCATTAATAGCCACTTTTATCTATTAATGAGGCACTTGGCTTGCCATATAAAATCAAAGAACAAAAAAAAAACCATCCAGATGACCTGACTGAACATTGTTGGATTTTATACCTGGATTATTGAGCATGAACTTTGGTGTTATAATATACAGAGAAGTTAAAATCAACTCACTCAGTGTCAGAAGCCCGGGAACAAAAATGAGTTTTCAAACAAGACTTAAAAACGGAAAAAAGGGAGCCTGCCTGACGTGCAGTGGTAACTCATTCCACAGTCTTGGACCTGCAACAGAGCAGACCCTGTCACCTCTGAGCTTAAAACAAGTGCCTGGAACCAATAAAATCATCTGGACTGCTGACCTCAGAGAGCGCTGCGGGACATATGGCTGCAGCAGATCAGTGAGATAGGAGGGGCAGAACTGTTCAGAGATTTTAAAACATACAGAAGTATTTTAAAATGAATTTGAAAGTGAACCGGGAGCCAGTGAAGGGAGGCCAGAACTGGAGTAATGTGCTCTCTTTTGCCTGTACCAGTTAAAAATCAGGCTGCAGCATTTTGAACCAGTTGTAAACGTGTCATAGATGTCCGAGTGATTCCAAACAGAAGTGCATTGCAGTAATCCAGCCTGGATATTATAAATGCATGTATTACTGTCTCCAGGTTATTTTTGGACAGTATGGGCTTCAGTTTAGAGTCGCCACAACTTAAAAAACAGGATTTAACAATCGTGTTTACATGACTGTTAAGTTTCATGGAAGATCCATTTTCACTCCGATTAGTGACAACTTGTTTCTCTAACGGGGCTGGAGAGGAAATGTTGATGCAGTGGTTCTTGATTGTGCCATTAGGTGGAAACAACATGACTTCTGTCTACTTCTCATTAAAATTTTAAAAACTTAAAGCCATCTGATGTCAGCCAGGCAGTCAAGAAGAGGTTGGGTAGAGCGTGTGCTTCAGAGGGAAGTAAGTTTGACAGTCATCGGCGTAAAAATGAAAAGGTATACCGTGTTTACGAAAAATAGCACCTAGTTAGTTAATTAGTTAGTTACATCAGATTTTATGATCAGTTTCTCTGGTTTACTAAGAATACAGCCAGTTTTGCACTTTTAATAATTTTATCAGTAAACGGCATGAGAGAACAACAAAGAACGTCTCCAACGCTGCAGCGTTTTTGTCTCTGACTTGTGTTTTTAGCGATTTGTGATACAACCGGAGCAGATAAAGGGATGGTGTTTCACTTAGTCGGGTTTTTAAAATGAAAACTGAAGCAGCTGAATGGAAACGAGAAATCTGCCCGCAGCTGCTGAACAAATTACGTCGTTTCCAAAGTGTTTAAAAAAAACAGGACATCAGTGGTGATTTGAATGTGCCATTCTTTAGCTGTGTGTTTGTGTGTAGTTGTGTCAGGTGGTGCGCTTGGTGCCGGGGGCGTACCTGGAGTACAAGCAGGCCTTGCTCAACGAGTGCAAGCGGCAGGGCGGACTGCGGCTGGCGCAGGCTCGGGCGCTCATCAAGATCGACGTCAACAAGACGAGAAAGATCTACGACTTCCTGATCAAAGAGGGGTGCATCACGAAGGCATGACACAACGACCCAGCCGGGTCAGCGCCCCGTTTCATCTGGTGACGTCTTCAGTGTTTTTCAGATCGTTGCTGCTCCTCTGCAGTGTTCAATCGTGTTTTTTAAATGTGGTAAAAAAAAAAAACGTCTTTGTATAATTCTCTGCCAGATGAACAGAAACTCTTGATAAAATCAAGAAATATTTATTTCTACTGTCGTATGTGTTAATAAAAGTAATTTGGTGTATTGTATTTTCTCTTTATTTGGATTGAAATTTTATAAAGTCTGTATTCCACAGATGAAACCTTTGCGCTCATTCGAGCATGAATGTGCTGCAGAAACATAAAATTCAACATCATTAGGGAACAAAATCTACTAAATGATAAACAATCGTAAATGCTGCTATTTAATTTTAAAATTTAGCCAGAAATCTGCAACCACCCATATCACTTTACATTTTAACTTCCGTTTACAGATTTATTTTAATAAGATTAAAAAAATAATCACAATAATTCATGTAAAAACTGACATTTGAACAGTGCTGTGTTTTCCCCTCTTGCATATTTTATCTTCTGTAACGCACAAAAATCAAATCAAGGAAACCTTCATGGAACTAACTTGTAAAATTACTAAATATTAAAGATCTAATCAATTTACATTCGTCTGTTTTTAAATGAATTTTGTAAGAAAGGACGAAAATGATTAAAAAAATTCCATTAAACTAATTTTGTTTTCAGTTAAATATTTAAATGAACTTTTTAGGAGAATGGTGGAGCAGAGGTTAAAGAAGGTGTGCCTGTGATTGGAAGGTCGCCGGTTCAACTCCCCGGACCGACATCAAAATGTGGGTGGGAAAGGTGAAACGCCCACACCTGCCTCCACCCTTATTTGCCCCACTCTGGGCCCTTGAGCAAGGCCCTCAACCCCCACCATCTGCTCCCTCGGATGCCCTAAATGGCAGCTCTGCTCCACTCACAGGGCTGTGGTAGCTCAGTGGTCTGTGGTGTCATCAGGAAGGGCATCCGCCATAAAATCAATCGTCAAGTCTTTGTGCGATTTAGTTGAAGAAGGGAGCAGCCGAAAGAAGAAGTCAAAAATAAAACCTATAATCTGTCTCATTGATATTTTATGTCCTTAAATTAAAAGTTGGTAAGCTCAATTTGTAACCAGATGCCAAACACCACGGTAACAGCAGGAGGGATTCAAATTTGGTCAATGACGACGTCCATGCAAGAGCCTTTTGGGAACGAAAAGTCAGGGGCGGGGTTCTGTTTATACAAATGTAAATTGAGATTTGCTCAGTAAAGTAAGCAGAGCTGTTTCTAGAACAATCTAAAATTAGACATAAGCGCATACCAGATTGGACATAAATTATGATTGGAGTTAAAAAATGTTTAGTGGAAAAAAACGTTAAACTTGGCGCTCTAGCTGATCAAGCAGGGTGGTGATCAATTCCTGGCTGTGTTATTTTTCTATTTTCTTTTGTGTTTAGCTGCCAATTTATTCATGTTTCCATTAAACGTCTCAGAGTCTTGGCTTGTCTGATTCTGTTTGTTTACAAACGAGAGCCAGTGGTGCTTTGTTTACATTGAGTGCGTACCCTCGGTTTCATAGTACATCTAGAAAATGACTGGAGGGAACTCTCAAACTGCACCACTTGACATAGTTTAGGATAACCAGGGGCGTCTCCAGAATTTCTTTAATGTGGGGACCACTGAAAATCCTGGAGTGGCACCAAAACCAAAAACCGGAGCAGAATTTCAGTAGATGTGTTGTCAGAGAGTCAGAGATTCTTTATTGTCATTCGCACCTCATGTGGTACATGTGGTGGAGCGAAATTATGTACACAAGGTCCCAGTTACATCCAACAATAAAATGGTGTTCCTCAAGGACCACGGTTGGGAACCCCTGAACTGTAGGACCATCTAGCCATAAAACTGCACTTTTTCCGCTAACACTGAAGGTCAGAGGCATTTTGGTGGTTTTGGCACCCGCTTCGGATGTTGCCGCTCGTTTTTGAATTTGAGGCGGGACTTGCAAAAACTGACACACATAATCCAGGCGGGCAGTAGACCACCAGCCTCTGACGAGCTTATCAGAGCCGAGGGTCTGAATCTGATTTATGACGGGGCTCAGCCTTTGATGCTGAGAGCAAAACAACCCGAGGAGGGAGCCGAACAGGAGCTGCATCAAAGAGGACATGAAGGAGGAGAAATTTAATGTTTTTAAGGCATCTTTGCATTTTCTTAAGTGTTCAGATTAAAGATGCAACAGATAAACTTAGTTTTATAATAGGAAACCTGTTCTGTTTACACTTTGTCTTCTCAAAATAACAAGTCTGAATTGTGCATTTGCAGTCTGCATGTTCATTTGTACATCGAAATACACAGAAAATATGAGTAATTCATAAAAGCTAAACTTTATAAACAATGTTGGAGTGATTCTCAGGTTGAGGTTTTTAACATATACAGCTAAAAACATTTACATTAAATCAGATGATTTTAATTAATCCTACATGTGTCCAGTTTCACTACTTCTTTGTTTAAACAGATCACACTTGTAAATGAGTCTTCGAGGCTCAATGTGATTTATCTGTCTAATTTTTTTTTTTCATTTACCTTTATTTATACAGGTAGTCTCACTGAGCCACGAGAACTCATTTTCAAGAGAGACCTGTTTAGGGAGCAGATGGTGGTTAAGGGCCTTGCTCATGGGCCCAGAGTGGGGCGAATGAGGGTGGGGGCAGGTGTGGGTGATTCACCTACCCTACCCACATTTTTGATGTCGGTACCAGGGCTTGAATCCACCTTCTCTAACCTCTGCGCCACCACTCCCCCACAAATAAAGGTTGAATTGAAAAAAAAATTTAAATATCCACCATCTTGTACCTGAGTCGGATCAAGAAGGCAGCAGCTCGAGCGGGGAGGCCCGGACCCGTCTGGTTTTGTTGTGTGCGTGAACCGACAACCGCCCCAATTTCTTTTGCTCGTCAGCTCAGAGTTCAAGCTCGGTTCTTGTTGGGCTTTCTGCTCGCCAGACGGGACTCTTTAAATGTGAACGAAGCTCTGGATGAAGAAGGGGCTTTTCATGAGCCAAGTGTTTATCAAACTAAAAGATGACTGGGTCATCTTTACTGCACTGAACATAAATTAATTATCTCTGAAGAAGAAAATATTAATAAATGACAAAACATGAAAGTAGATATGAGCAGATTCCTCACCTGCTCCTCGGCACGTTTCTGTGCAGCCTCCTCTTCGTCACCGTGGAGACCGTGATGAAGTGGTGAGAGGGCAGCAGATGGAGCAGATGTCAACTTCTCAAACCGCCCATGCTCCTCCTCCTCCTCAGGCAGACTGCGTCCTGCTCTCAGCTCACCTCCGACTCTTTGCAGACGACAAGCTGGTCTTCAGGAGGAAACCCTCCAAACCTTTGTGGATCTTTGTGGATCTCAGAACCGTCTGTGGGGCTTTAAATAAATCAGCGATGAAACGTTTATGCAAAGAATTCTACTAAAGTGCAAGTTAAAGTGTAAAAATAAGATTTTAACTCAGACGAGCAGAATACTTATTTAAATAAAAGCTTTTTCTTTCACATCATTCATATTTTTTGCACATTTGCTCGCAGATTACATATATCTGTGTCTTTTTTTATTTCTTCACACATTTTCTTTGTCCTTTATTTGTTACAAGATGCAGGGCTTTGTTTTATTGACCTCGTTTGCATCTTGTAGTCATTGCAACACACCTTAGTTATTTCATGACACACTTTGATCATTTTATTTGTATATTTTGATTGTTTTTGTTATCAGATCATGTTTCTAAACCTGATCCTCGAGGCTCGACTTCCTGCATGCCACAGATGTTTCTCTGATCATGAGACCTGATTTAAATAGTTTTCACAGCTTCTGGTGAACTGGATGCAGCTGAGGAGGAAATTAAATCTGAATTGGGCGTGCTGGAGGAGAGAAGCATCTAAAACATGGAAATCCCAAAAACAATCCAACAAAGTAAAAGTTTAATATAGCAACATTTTACCTCTAAAACACGAGCTGAACTTTGTACCCCTGAGTTTGCGATCATGTCCTAACTGCATGTGCAAAAAAGAACCCAAACTGAGAAGCTCAGGTCAATACGTGAAAACGATTAGGTGCAGATTTTTATTAGAATGATTGAGATAAATTATAAAGAATTTTATTAAAAATGTCAAACAAGTAGGAAAATATTCAACCAGACAAGGTCTAAATCCTGAGTGACCGCCAAAATTTAAATTGAAAGCTTAAACAAAAAGCTAAAACAATCACAACATTAGCAAAATGCTTAAAGTAATAAATAGTACAATAGCCCAAAACAAAAAAAATTGTAAAATGCCAGGCAAAAGTAGCACAACACAAGCTAAAAGCTAAATTGACAACAGGCTAAAATGCATGTCAAAAGGTTGGCTAATATCAAAAACTAGCTACAAACTAAAGACTGTAAGATAAAAGCTTAATGCTAAAAAAAAAATAGCATAACACCAGTTTAAAACTAAAATGATGGCTATAAGCAGCAAAATGTTAGCTAAAGGTTAAAAATGACAAAAAGCTAAAAGTATTTTACAAACTTGCTAATAGGCCAAATATGCAAAAGCTAAAAGTAGCAAAATGGTGGTTCAAAGCTAAAAGTATTGAAATTCTAGTTAAAAGCAGCAAAAGGGGAGCTAAATATAGAAAAAGACTAGCTAAAGGCCAAACGTATCAAAAGGCTAGCTAATAGGGACCAGTAAAAATACGAGCTTGAAACAAAAATAAACTTGAACGAACAAAATTGTAGCTAAAAGCAGCAAAACATTAGCTAAAAACTAAAATTTGTAAAAGGCTTACTAAATGTAGCAAAAAGCTAGCTAAAGGCTAAAGATAGCAGAATACTGCTGTTGGTTCATGTTTTAGAGCCAGCAGCTAAAGCAGATGTTTTAAAAGTTTTTTTAAGGAGCTGAAGAGTTCTCAAAGTATTTCTCAGGAGAAAATATTTGTAAATAAAGTTAAAAAA